CACCCCCCAGGAAAGTTCTCCACAAGTATCTAGAGACACCAAAATCACAGAGGAGCTTCTACTGACTATCCTATACAACCCCTCCAAACTTGGTGGAGACTGTTTCAAACATCCATGTTATACACCCACAATGTAGGTCCCCCCCCCAGGAAAGTGCCCTTTAGCAGCTGGCTTGGGGAAATCCAATCTTCACCAGATTTTGAGAGATTTGCTGCTCTGGAGAGTTGCTCTGTATAGCTCAGCAGCTTTCTACAAGGTCACTTCCATGAGCCTGCAGTTTCCACTGCTTTCTCTAGACCTGTGGTTCCCAACTTGGGTCCTCAGATGCTCTTGGACTGCAACTCTCAGAAATCCTGACCAGTACAGCTAGGGGTGAAGGCTTCTGGGAGTTTTAGTCCAAGAACATCTGGGACTACTGCTCTAGACCTTTGACCTCTAGAGCTGCAACCAGGGCCGCTTCCCACCATGCCTACCAGTGGCCGGTGGGGTTTCAGTGAGTTGATTGTGCCCCATCGCTGCCTTTTCCTCCAGTTGCTTCCTGACTTCTGGCCCTGAAGATTCCTCCTCCTCTAGTTTTATACAGAACCAAAGTGTCTGGCAAAACAGGCAGGAGCCCCTTCTAAATCACTCTAAGAGTTCAGAGTCCAGCTTTATCTCTTTAACTTTGCTGTGCCAGTGATTTTCTTGACTTTCCATGCCTACCAAGACCTACCCATTTTTCCATCAGTGCCAATAACTGTATGACGGTGGAGGGATCTGGACCTGAAGTCATGAGTAGACCCACCTGGGAGTGGGAAGATCAAGATGGCAGCAAGGGCCATTTGGAATCATGCATGACTTTGAGAACCTTAAGGAGGAAGTTGTACTCTGGGAATGTGGCAAGGCTACCATCTGTCACTGCTGGTAATTTTATAACCCCCTAGAGACCTACAACTGATGCAGTTCCCTCCTAGACTTGGGGGGGTGTTGCTACCACTGTGATGCAGAAAAAAAGTGTGATGTTTCATTTCCCATCTGAGTTAGAGGGGAGAGCCAGGACTCCCCTTGATTCTCATCCATATGTCCTAAAATCTGTTAAATTTCTCTTGTATTCCATCTTATTGGGAATATTAACACCAGGCACTCATGTTTGTTCAGTGGTGCCTCGCAAGATGATGTTAATTCATTCCGTGAAAATTGCTGTTTTGCAAAAACATCACCTTGTGAAATGCAGTTCCCCATTGGAATGTATTGAAATCCGTTTAATGCATTCCAATGGGGACAAATTGTCGTCGTTTTGCGAAAATCGCCCATAGAGAAATCGTTTTGCAAAGGGCCGATCAGCTGTTAAAACCGCTGTCTTGCGAAAAACAGTCCCAAAAACACCCGTTTTGTGAGTCATAGACTCAGCTGTCAAAATCATCATCTTGTGAAAATTGGTCCTGAAAAAAAAAGTCTTGCAAAGCACAGTCCGAAACATCGTATAGCGAAAATCGCCCATAGGAAACACTGTTTTGCGAAGCACTATAGCGATTGCAAAACCTCATCATGCAGATTCATCCTTTTGCGAGGTAATCATCTAGCAGGGCACCACTGTATTCTTTTCAAAACAGTACTTCATTTTTTTTCCAGGTGGTAAAAATGATGATTGTTGTTGTGCTCACATTTGCGGTCTGCTGGTTGCCATACCACATTTACTTCATAGTTACTGGGATCTATGAGAACTTGAACCGGTGGAAATACATTCAGCAAATCTACCTAGCCACCTTTTGGCTTGCAATGAGTTCTACCATGTACAACCCCATTATCTACTGCTGTCTCAATAAAAGGTAAGAATACCTTATAGATTTCATAAGTACTTGAGTCTATAATAAAGAGTAACCAACCAGATTATGTGACTCCTGGATGTTTGCTTTTTACTCCTTTATATTGTCAAATCCAGAAAAGAAAGAAAATGCTGTCTATGAGAGAGTGCTGATCATGCCCCAGTTTGGTTACCCAAAACTCAGACAAAAATACACTTCTACCCAGTTCTGTTAAGCCATAAGAACTTGTGTTCTTATATCACTTCTTACACCCACATTTTAAAATTATATTTTTTACATAAGTCTTGGTACATTTCAGTAGCAAAAGGAACAATTGTGTTGAGACAGGAAGTTGTTTCTTCCTCTGCAAATACGCTTCATTCCAGGGACATGACAAATTGTCATTGAACGTATACTGTAATTCCCTGTTATTTTTCCAGTTTTTGTCAGGCAGAGTTCCCAGTAAGACATTCCCTAACCAGTGATTTCTCTACATCCCTGAGGAGGCTTGTGTTCATCTTCCTTGTTTGTTTTCTACAATTCAAATCTAGTGTAAAAGGTGCTGAATCCTGTGCAAGAATTGGTAACTCCTGCACAGAAATTTCTAAATCTGTGGAGAATTTAGAAATTCCTGCACAGGATTTGACCAGTTCTTCCACAACGTAGCATTTCTAATTTCTGCACGCTTTCAGAAACATTCCCAGGGTATTCCTAGAGTCAGAGCCGATTTCCTACAAGATTCTCCTCATGCATGATCCTTGGGCAGAAAAGAAGGAAACATTTTTTCTTTCTCTTGGACCAAGCAAGAAATAGCAGGGTTGGCATTGCTACATAATACATTAAAGATGTGAGATGGAACCTGGACTTCATAACTGCGCACTGAGCAAGGCTTATTCTTTGAAATGTCCTGAGCCACCCCATCCAAAGAATGGATGAGGACTGGGAAAGAAGCAAATACTGTATAGCACTCATACAAGCCCCTTTACACCTGGCCACTGAGGACCATCGCCAGGTAGAAATAAGCAGAGATGGGTACCCAGGTTTAAATCACATCAAAGTCAAAATCCCTCCTCCTTCAGTGCTTCTTCTCATGAGAATCATCTTGCTAGAGACCAAGGAACTCTAGCAATCTTCTGAAACTTCCAATAATGCCCCAGTACTGACATGCTTAGGTGTGATTCCCCCTCTCATCCATTAGTCATGCTAGCTGGGCCTGATGGGTGTTGTGGAGCAAAGGATTCCCACCCCTGCCTCCCACCTCCAATCTAGTATACAGAACCTGATTTTCACTGCTCTGTAACATTTTATTCTGTCTACTGATCAACCACGTTGCTCAGTATCTAGTTATGGGCAAGCTCGTGTGTTTTCATCGCTCTATAAGACTGCAAAGTCAGGTCATAATTAAGTCAAAATTAATGATTGTGCCACACCTGTGGCATGGCATTATCTTTACTTTTTTCCAGCGTGAAAATTGTGTGACATTTCTTTGAACATTTCCAAACGGAAGCTGTACTAAAGGTGCACTTGCAGGGGAAAAAAAGCCTCATTGAGCAAGGTTGGAAAGCTTCACCGAATAAACAAAATCAGTGCCTAATTCAATATTGAGTACCTGTTGCAGAATATTGTTTTGAAATCTCTTTGGGAAGAGAAACCGCACGTTCTAATTGCTATGCTATGTATGCAGATATTTTTAAATGATTGCAGAAGCTGTAATGAACAAAGATTCCCCCATAATGCTGCATCTTGATCAAACACCTGTCTGCTCCAATCTCAGGTCACATACACCTAGTCTCACCAGGGTCTTATGTAAACACAGAGCTGGCTAGAAAGTGCAGTGATTTAAATATCTGGCTATGGAGCCTGTGATTGGGAGTTTGATTCCCTACTGTGCCTCCTTGAAGAAGAGCCGGCATGTGCAGTCAGAGGCAAACTGCACAGTTCCAGGATGCAAGGTGGGAACGGTAAACCACTTCTGAGTATTATTTGCCTAGAAAATCCTGAAAAGGATTACCATGAGTCAGAATTTACTTAATGGCTTGCAATTATTATTTTTTTAAATTCCAGGTATAATCAATCAATATTATGAAAACATTGATTTTTTTTTTGTTTCTCTACCAAGAAAATCCTGGTATATGACACATTCACAGCAAAGTTATGCTGTAATTAATTGTTACTTCAATGATTTTCATTTCAATACATAGCACTGTTACTTGTATCAATACTATCAGTACTCAAAATAATATTAGGTAGGAATGGAAGAACCTCCATTCAGAAGCTTCTGGCCAGCTATGCTGCCATCTGATTGCTAACCAAGGACAGTGACTGTTCGGTTTCCATTCCCAGTCAGTTTTGCATTTGTTTGTTTGTTTGTTTAATGTTTTTATCCTGTCTTCTCATTAACAGGACCATCAGCAGTCTATGTTTAGTGATACTTTTTGCTCTTTCCTATTTTCTAAAATGTTCTCTTGAAACATAGATACGCGCACAGGTTCACCTGTACATTTTAAGCGTTTCCCCTTTCAGCATTGTATTGGATGCATTTCTGTCCCGGATATATACATTTCTATATGGGTTCTGCCCAAAGTATGTATTTTTGAGTTCACTGAAAAAAAATATTTGGAGAACTTCCAAATCTACAACCCATGATTCTGATTTTGTGCTGCGTATTATTAGTTCAGAAAGTGCATGTAAGGTCATTTTGCTTTACAATGGGGGCAGCAGGAAATCATCCATCAGCCCTAATGGCGCTATCAAGACAGGATTTGAGGGCAGATGTCCAAAGCCTCACTCAGCAAAATGAACCAAAGGGCCTCCAAATGGTGCAAAGCTGACTTGCCATAAGTGAAGTAATAATACACATTACTTAACTATAGAGGGGGGAACCACAGAAGAGTCTAAAATTGCCTTATACTGTAAAACTGTGTGCTAGTGAGAGAAAAAAATCAGCAGTCTTGTCCGTGACACAATCAGTTGCTATAGACAAGTCGTACATGGATTATTATCAACTCTCTTATTCCATCATGATTTGGCAGTGTGTACAATAAATATTACTACAGCGGCGCCTCGCTAGATGATGATAATCCGTTCCACTGAAATCTCTGTTTAGCGAAATTGTCTAGGGAAAAGCATTTCCCCATTGGAATGCATTGAAACCTGTTTAATGCGTTCCAATGGGGAAGAATCGTTGTTGTCTAGCAAAGATCGGCCATAGGAAAGCCGCTTTGCAAACTGCCTATCAGCTGTTTAAATAGCTGTCTTGCGAAGCTTAGGTCCCGAAAACACCCATTTTGCAAGCACAGAGGGAGCTGTCAAAATTGTTGTCTAGTGAAAATCGGTTTGCAAAGCAGGGACCAAACATTGTCCAGCGAAATTCCCCCATAGGAATCACTGTTTTGCAAATCGCTATAGCAATCACAAAAAGCCAAACCTCATGAAGTCTTTCAGAATTAAGTCACAGAAAAGGAGGCCAGCTTATTAGCGTCACAGAACCAGAGGAAGGGGTCATTTGGTAGTCTAATGATTACAGTTCAATGCAAGATCAACAGTGCAGGATGCAACTACATCATCCATGGCAAAGAGCCATCCAATGTCTGCTTTGAAAAGTCCAACCAAAGAGATCCCACCATATCTTGGTTCTGTTTCTTCCCCTCCTACCATTAGGAAGACTGTTCATGGTCCTTACAATAATTTATCCCAGTGGTTCCCTATAATTTCAACTCCCTGGGGCTAGACCTGCCCCCTGTGCCAACAGAACAAATCTGGTGCATCTTGTGCATGATACCTCTTCTGACATTTGAAGACCACGCCCATCCTTATTTATTTTTTCTTCTCTAAGCAGAACATACTCAACTCTTTCAGATATTCTTTACGACACATGGTTTCCAGACCGTTCACCATCCTAGTTGTCCTATTCTGCACCACTACATTAATTTTGAGGGAGCACAACTTTGGTGTCCTCCAGCTAGCATGGACAGTTGAGAAATTGGGGGAATTGGAGTTCAAAGAAATTTCCAACCTCAGCCCTTTTGTTAAAATGTGCTGCCCAGAAATGGACACAATACCCCAGATGCATACTCTATGATACTCTGTTGTGCAATAAAAAATTCTTACAGAATTTGAAAGAAATTCATTGTCACTGGGTTGGGATATAAATCTATGCTTGTTTCAAGGAAGGAACTGAAACATTCTTCTTCTCATCAGCAAGGCAGATAAGAAAATTCCTGGCATCCTGCACAGAATGCTTGCATTGGAAAAATCGAGTGTCTTGCACAGAATTACCTATTATTTAGTTATTTAGTTCATTTGTTTGTTTGTTTGTTTGTTTGTTAGTTTCTGTACTGCCCATGTGACTGGTCATTCTTGTAAACAGCTTTGTAAACTGCCCATTTTGCTGTACTGACCATGTGACTGATCACTCCTGTAAACAGCTTTGTAAACTGCCCATTTTGTGTAAGACTTAATAATCTGCACTGTTCTGCAAAGTACATGAATTGTCCAAAACTAAAGTGATTACTGCTTTGTTTCAGAATATGAAGTACAGGATGGGTTGTTTGTGTCTTTCTTGACAGTTAGTCGACCCTTCTGTGTTTGATTCATGTGTTTTGCTTTTCAAAGAAAAAAGCATATTTCAGACATTTTGGACAAACTTCAGAGAGCTGGAAGGGGAGGGGACAGACCTTTTCACCTCATTTAGGCCTAAAAGCAAGACATCTTTTAGGGCTTTAAACTTCTTCATTGAGATCTCTCATCCTCTCAAGACAGCTTAAATCAGTAAGAATTTTATTTATTCTTTCCATTCCCACTGACTGAGTATCTATTTTCCCCCTAGATTTCGAGCTGGTTTCAAGAGAGCTTTCCAATGGTGCCCTTTCATTGAAGTATCTACTTATGATGAACTGGAACTAAAGACAACCAGGTTCAATCCTACCAGGCAAAGTAGTTTATATACAGTTTCAAGAATGGAAACCAGCATGTCCATAGTATTTGACCATAATGATGGAGAAAGCACCAAGTCCACTCGCAAGAAGAGAGCTCCATCACAGGAAGCCAACCTTAATGGCTGTTCCCGCAGAAGTTCAAAAGCCACGTCGACAGTGTCAAGCTACATTAACTCTCCGTATACATCAGTGGACGAGTATTCCTAAAGCCTTAATGCATGCAGGAGAAACAACATTGCTAATAAAGAAACCAATGCTGTTCTGCCTCAGACTCAAACATCCAAGCTTCTGGACAGCAACAAGGCTGCAGATCCTGAGCAGTGACTGTATATATCAATATATACCTATTTATGATATATGTCCCTTCAGATGTTATTGGACCACTGTTCCCATGATACCCTCAAGCTTATGGTGGCTAAGGCTGATGGGAGTTGCAATCTAGCAACATCTGAAAGGCCACAAGTTGTTCAGCCCAAGATTTATGTCTTTGTTTGACTCATCTTGTCTTTGTGGTTTGGAAGGAGCAAGACCTGCTTGTATCAGAATTTGGAAAAGGCTCTTTTTTTAATAGAATTCTAAAAATTCCAAGGCAGAGCAATGCTAGCCAGGGATTATAAGAATTGTAGTCCAAAAATAACTTTTCCAAGCTCTAGTTTACATCCATCTAATGGCATAATGGCACATTGTAAGGTGGAATGTTTGTGCAAATCCTTTAGTGAAGAACACATCTGGACACTCTGAAATCCATGTGAAAATGTGGTTGCAACTAATTTACATCCTCTTTAATATTTACTTGCTCTGGATCTAAGCTGGCAAAATCTCTTTATATGTGTTGGACCATTTACTTGGGAATTGTGATTACTAATGGTTCTTATACTTCCTGTACTGTATATATTATCAATAAGAATGTCACAAAAGTTCTACCACCACCTGATTTATTTTTAATATATCATTTAGCAAGGGTGATGCTTTTAAAAATGATTTAGTTTCTCTGAAAATCAAATCTTGCTCATCTTTATCACAGGCTACCCAGATTTAATCTTCACTATTTAAAAGAAAAAGGGATGTGGTGGCATTGTAGGCTAAACCGCAGAAGCCTCTGTGCTGCAGGGTCAGAAGACCAGCAGTCGTAAGATCGAATCCACATAACAGAGTGAGTTCACATCGCTTTGTCCCAGCTCCTCACCAACCCAGCAGTCTGAAAGCATGTAAATGTGAGTAGATAAATAGGTACCATTTCGGTAGGAAGGTAAAATGACATTCCCTAGTCACGCTGGCCACATGAAACTGTCTTTAGACAAGCGCTGGCTCTACGGCTTGAAAAACGGGATAAGCACCGCCCCCTAGAGTCAGACACGACTGGACTAAAAATGTCAAGGGGAACCTTTACCTTTACCTATCTAAAGGAAAAAGAATAGCAGCCCTTAAACACAATAATTTTTCTGTAACATTATCAGTTTCCAAATCTGAGACAGCCTGCATTATTTTAAAACTGCCAGTTACCAGTGTACATACCCATTCCATATAAGGGTAATTGTAGATGAAGAGGAGGGAGGAAAATCATGTTGTACTAGCAGATGAGTTTTGAACTTGGGCTAGACTTTTGTCTTTTGGTAATGTAGACAAAGAATTATTCATGAGTAATGGTGCTTGGTTAGACATTAATGAAGTGGGCTGGAGTCCAAGAAAGGGTGCCACAAGACACTTTACTGTATTTGCTCCCTTTTGATAGTGTAGACCAAGAAATGAGAAAGAGAGTCAGCCATATCAACAGGCCTCCCTGTTGATATCTTAAGACAACCTTGAGCGCTTCAGTTTTGGGAACAGGACAATGTTAACTGTTTCAGCACTAAAATCACTTTAGATTGAGGTTTTTATGGTGTTAAATGGAGTCCTTCTTTAGGCAGAAAGGCAGGGTAGAAATTGAATAAATAATAATAATCTTTGGACTACAAAGTTTGAAGGAAGCCTATGGATCATTGAATCCAGCCCCTGTCAAAGAGGCACAGTGGGGAATCAAACTGCTAAGCACTGGCTCCCAGCCAGATACCTAAACTGTTGAGCTATCTAGCAATTCTGATGATGGGGTACAGAATCATTTCTAAAACATGTAGGGCAGGGGTCCCCAGCCTCCAAGCCACGGCCTGGTACCAGAGTGTGGCCTTGGCAGGACCGGGTTGTGGAGACAGATCTCCCAGGGGGCCCTCGCACACACTCTCCCCTGCATGCCCACACACGCACGGCCCACCCACCTGCAGCACAGGTGCCCCACCTATCCACACATGCACACGAGCGTGACCCACCCACCCGTTAGTGTGCCCTGCCCATTCGCACCTGAACCCCACCCACCCCCAACCAGTCCACAGTTTGGAAAAGGCTGGGGACACTGACGTAGGAGTTGAACTTCACTCCAGTGGGATAAATCCAACATCCTGTTGGCGCAACTTTCAGAATTATCTTCCCTTCCTTCTGCCCAACAATCTTCAACACATTGTCACGTCCCTCCACAGCTGGTTTTAGGAGCATGGCAGGGGGCTAGAGCAGGGAAGGGAATATCTTCCCTGTATTTATTTATTTATTTATCTATTTATCTATTTATTTATTTATTTATTTACCGCCCATCTGGCAGCCAAGGCCACTCTGGGCGGTTTACAATTTTCTATAAGATTCCACTTTTCTTCCAGTGGAAGTCCACCACTGAATTCCGCCTCTTATTTCTTGAAAAGCACTCTAAAAAAGTAAACCTACAAGTCTTGCAGGCACCTGTATAATGCCTTAACAAAGTGGGTCCCAATCTTGGGTCCCCAGATGTTCTTGGACTACAACTCCCAGAAATCCTGGCCAGCACAGGAAGTGGCGAAGGCTTCTGGAAGTTTTAGTCCAAGAATATCTACAGATCCCAGGTTGGGAACCATTCTATCTTAACTGAAGAAGCATGCAGTGGTTGCTTCAGACATTTGGAACTGCTTTATGTGATCCAGTCTTAAGACATCCCCCAACAAATGCAGCTATTCCGTTTCCAGTCACCGTGCAAATATGATGGTGGTTGCAGAAAAGACGGCTGCACTCATATGAATCATTCTTGGGGAATGGCACTTGGTTAGACATTAATGAAGTGGGCTGGCGTCCAGGAAAGGATGCCACAAGACACTTTGCTGTATTTACTCCCTTTCTGTGGCCGCATCCATAGTCATACTCTCTCATCCATAGTCATAGTCTTTCTGTGGTTGTATCCAGTAGGGGACGCCCTGCAAGTTAAACTGCAAACCCTCTGGGCTGCAAGGTCAAAAGATCAGCAGTTCGAATCCTTGCAATGGAGTGAGCTCCCGTTGTTCTTCCCAGCTCCTACTAACCTAGAAGTTCGAAAGCATGTAAAAATGCAAGTAGATAAATGGATTCCACCACGGTGGTATGGTAACAACATTCCATGTCTAGTTGCGCTGGCCACGTGACCACGGAAACTGTCTATGGACAAACACTGGCTCTATGGCTTGGCAGCAGGAATGAGCAGCACCCCCTAGAGTAGGATATGTTCATCCCAGCTCCTACTAACCTAGAAGTTCGAAAGCATGTAAAAATGCAAGTAGATAAATGGATTCCACCACGGTGGTATGGTAACAACATTCCATGTCTAGTTGCGCTGGCCACGTGACCACGGAAACTGTCTATGGACAAACACTGGCTCTATGGCTTGGCAGCAGGAATGAGCAGCACCCCCTAGAGTAGGATACGACTGGACAAATTTCTCAAATATCCATAGTCATGGACATGCAGAGAAGTTCTGAATATCTGGAGCTTCCCTTTATCTATTGGATGTGATTATTCTCTATTATGTTTGTGTCTGACTGGGAAATAAAGGCACCTGTAATTTTGCAAAGCAGAAAGAGGGAGAGAAAAACTGAGTCATTTTAAACATAAAATAACTCATTCATTGTATCTGACATGAGTCCGTTTTAAATAGTATTTTTCAATGGATATAGCTAATTTGGCTATCATTATCTAATCAAGTAGTGAAAAGAAATGAACTGTTCGCATAAGAAGAGTCCTGCTGGATCAGCCCAAAGGCCTTCCTACGTCCAGTTAGTATCTCCACCTCAGTCCAAATGTGCACAAAATAAGTGGCCATGGTGGTCTTTGGTCCACACACAGCAACACTCTGTGGACATGGGTGCAATTTTGCCATTTTTTGTGAAGTCCTCTGGGCCCCTAGATTTACATTTCGTTCTCATTAGGGAGTGCAAGAAGGCATCTTTAGGGGAAAAAAGAGAAATACAGTATTTGGAGGGATATGGGACCAGGTGGAGATCTCAAGGTTGTGGAGGTGGGAATTATGTGCAGCCCCAGGATCTCTGGAATCTATCCCTGTACTCTGGACGGAGGTAGCCATTGTTCAGGGTCTAATGAGATTTTCCCTTCTATTCCCCTGACTGGTCACACCTCATGTTCCCCTATATGCCCTGAAAACCTACTCCAGAGGGCCATCAGACTCTCCAGAGCAGGTTTTCAAGCAGGGAGATGTGGGGGGAAGTCCTTTTTGTTTCAAATGGCAACATTGGCTTGGAGTAGAACAGAAGCAAGAGCAAGTATAAGGTTGAAGACATTAAAGTTTCAGGTAGCAGGCTTCTAAAGGCCAGATTTCAATTTGAGGTTGACTGGTGTCCTCCAACTTGACCTAGGTGTCAGAGAGCTGAGTTGTATGATTTTGATCCACTGTCTGGATCATTACAATATAATTCTGTATTATTCAACTCACTTCCTACCTGAATAACATTACACCTCTCTCCTTTAGCTGTTTTTGTTTTTCCCAAATGCTTTTATGTTAGCAATCCGCCCTCACTGGCTTTTACGTGGATCCTCAAAAATGCAAGTATTTCTGACAAAAGTGTCAGTCAAGACCACTTATTTAACATGTTATGCAAAGAGCAGTATTAAAGATCCTGTAGTAAGGAATAATTGCCAAATTGCACAGCTAACACCATGCAATTCGGCCGTTGCACTCGGTAGCCAAGGAGAACGACCTGAAAAGAAATTTTTTTTCCAATGAATTCATATGTGTATGCATTGCAAGTGTATTTTTCCTCTTTAATTTAAACGTTTTATTTGTACAGATTTAATATTGTAACCTTTTGTAAAGTATATGTCGTCACAAGGCTGTTCAAATATAAAGAAAGAGAAAAATCTCCATTTGAAAATGTGTTTATTATTACTGAAATAAGTTACAGTCATAAAAGAGACTGCAAATCAAGTTGAGGCAAAGCTGAATCACTCTCATTCAGACTCCAGCAGCAGCTTCTTCTTCCTCCAGCTGAGTGACACCATCACAATGCTGCCAGAGATTTACATCAGGGAGAGAACTGTTTAAATAATATTTAACTTCCCTAGGATGAAAGAACTTTGCATCCGGCACATGTGTTTTGACCTGGCCTAGTATCAGCTTAGCTGGCTTCTTGAACTTCTTGACCAGTTAGGATTGCACCATTACTGATGTATAAAAAGTAGACTTCAGCAGGCTAGCCTTTGGTATTACATATATACAGCTCATATACTGTAATTCCTCTTTTTAGATCCTGGCTCCTGAGAGATGGAAAATATAGCTATGAAAGTGTTTGGGAAAATTCATTTGTGCATTTATTTATCACATTTATATCTGAGCCTTCTACCCCCAAACAGTAGTCAGATAATCTGCCCAGGGACATGGAATCTAAAGATTAATTAACATACTCCTAAGAGGGTTCAACAAAAGTAATAAGGAAAAGCATAATCAGTCCCACATCTTTCTCCAAAGGTTTATTGTTTTCTTCTGCAAATCAAAGATAGAATTTGAAGGTTACCCTTCCTTATCCCCTTAGGACAATGTGTGCACTCATTCAGAGCAATTTCTGTAAGCACTGACTAGATAGCGAGTCACAATAAAATCATCAGACTGCATGTCTCATTACTTTCAAGTATGTGATTAATGACTAAGGTCTGCAGCACAACAAAAGAGATGCAAGCTTCCATTCACAACTTTCTGGAAGATGTTTCCTAATAGCAATGAGACAATGGACAGAATCCTCCTGAAACCAAGGAGATTTCAACAAAACATCC